TCACCTCTTGCCTGGTCCTTTCAACTGGAGATGCCGGAGATTGAACCTGGGACCTTCTGCATGCCAAGCAGTGACTCTAGCACTGATCCACGGTCCCAGAAAGAACCCATGACCTGCTTGGAAGCGGGCAGAGAACCAGATCTGGCTGATAAATTTGCCCCCCCACGCCCCCCCCCCCGGACTAAAAGCACCGCTTGGCTCTCCGACCCCTTCTCCGGTCAAGGTCTTTCTCATCACCCCCTGCCTGGTCCTTTCAACTGGAGATGCCGGGGATTGAACCTGGGACCTTCTGCATGCCAAGCAGAGGCTTTACTACTGAGACAGGGTTTCCGGTCAAGGTCTTTCTCATCACCTCCTGCCTGGTCCTTTCAACTGGAGATGCCGGGGATTGAACCTGGGACCTTCTGCGTGCCAAGCAGAGGCTTTACTACTGAGACAGGGTTTCCGGTCAAGGTCTTTCTCATCACCTCCTGCCTGGTCCTTTCAACTGGAGATGCCGGGGATTGAACCTGGGACCTTCTGCATGCCAAGCAGAGACTCTAGCACTGAGCCACGGTCCCAGAAAGAACCCGTGACCTGCTTGGAAGCAGTCAGAGAACCACATCTGGCTGATAAATCTGTCCACCCCCACGCCCCCCCCCCCCCCGGACTAAAAGCACCGCTTGGCTCTCCGACCCCTGCTTGCTTCATTTGCATGGATGTCAACGGTAGGGCCTCAGCCGCTGCAAGACGGGAGACCATTAGAGAGGGGGGCAAGAGCGGATGGGGGAAGTCAAACGGGTGAGCTCATCTAAAACTCTCCGGCTGATGAGGCGATTAATGCACGTCTCAGGCTCCGCGTGGCAATTAGCTGGCATGAATAATTGAATGCTCTTCATAGGACGGCTCTCGAATACCAATGCCTCCGGCTCCCCAGCCGGATTACGAGGGGGGGGGAATTGCATTTCTCGTGTGGTGATTGCTAAGGACTCTCTTGCAACGGGGAGAGATTTCGCCACAGCAGGGTGATCGGATCTGGTGGTGGGATTTCGGCCTTCTTTTCCGCAAACACGTGCAACGCTTCATCCCAAACAATCCCTCCGGGCGTCAAGACATGTAATTCGAACGAGGCCGGGCGTCGGGCCAATCGGGCAATCAGAACTCAAATATTATCTAATAATAGTCCGGCGGTTGAAAGCTGAATAATTCATTAGAACAGTAAGAGAGAACCGAGAGAGGGTTTGGCTACTAGCAGCAGCGGCTGCTTTCTAGAAAAGTCCGAACTGGCAGAGGCTGGCCATGAGAGAGATCTTGGAGTCGTAGTAGATAACTCACTGAAAATGTCGAGACAGTGTGTGACTGTGATAAAAAAAAAAGGCCAATGCAATGGTGGGGATTATTAGGAAGGGAGTTGAAAACAAATCAGCCAATATCATAATGCCCCTGTATAAATCGATGGTACGTCCTCATTTGGAGTACTGTGTACAGTTCTGGTCACCACACCTTAAGAAGGATATTATAGCTTTGGAAAAAGTGCAGAAAAGGGCAACTTGAATGATAAAAGGGTTGGTACACTTTCCCTATGAAGAAAGGTTAAAGCACTTAGGGCTCTTTAGCTTAGAGAAACGACGGCTGAGGGGTGACTTGATCGAGGTTTATAAGATTATGCATGGGAAACAGCAGGTAGAGAAAGAGGTACTTTTCTCCCTTTCTCACAACACAAGAACTCCTTGTGGGCACTCCATGAAATTGCTGAGCGGTCGGGTTAGAACAGATAAAAGGAAGTACTTCTTCACCCAAAGAGTGATTAACACATGGAATTCACTGCCACAGGAGGTGGTGGCAGCTACAAGCATGGATGGCTTCAAGAGGGAATTAGATAAGCATATGGAGCAGAGGTCCATCAGTGACTCTTAGCCACAAGGTATAGATAGGGACTCTCAAGGTGGGGCAAGGGATGCTCTGTCTTCTTGGGGCGGGGGGCAACAGTGGGAGGGCTTCTAGTGTCCTGGTCCCACTGCTGGACCTCCTCATGGCACTTGGTGTTTTTGGCCACTGTGTGACAGAGTGTTGGACTGGATGGGCCGTTGGCCTGATCCAACACTGGCTTCTCTTATGTTCTTATGTTCTAAAGCGAAAGCGGCATGCAGTGTAGAGGGCACCATAAATGCAGGGGGGGATTTTTGTTCCAACCTGAGTTTGTTAAAACAATGGATGAAAAAGCCAATGCAGAATTGCTCTATTTATTGATTGATTTGATTTGATTTGTACCCCGCCATCCCCCCCGAAGCAGGCTCAGGGCGGCTTACATAAAGTTACAGGAGAACAAAAACAACAATATAAATACAACAATATAAATATCAGAATACAAAACAGTGTAAAAGCACAACATAATTACTAAAGCTTTTTATATGGCCCCAGGGGTCATTTCCTGCAGGAGCGTAGAGGAGCGGAGCTCCGGCAGTAAAGAGCCCAGGGGGCGGGCACATGCAACAAGCCCCACCCTCTGCTCCCAGCAGCCCTCAATCAGAGCAAGAAGCAGCCAGATAAGTTGCAGAGCCCCCCCCCCACGGCCTGCCAGTCCAAAACAGTCCAGTGGCACCTTTAAGACCAAGTTTTATGCAGGTAAAAGCTCTCCCTCCTCTGCGAGGACAGATCTGCATGTTACCCCCCCCCCAATAGCTAGCAATCCAAAACAGTCCAGTGGCACCTAAGCGATGGGTGTTGCCTTCTGACACACGTCCCGTGATGTCAGGGGGTGTGGCATATGCAAATAAGCTATGATAATGAGTTATGTTAATGAGCTCTTGCACCTCTTTTTCTACGAAATGACCCCTGTATGGCCCTCAGAGCACCCGCAGCGTTCCGTGCGCCTCGGTGCCTAGTCATGCCACCCACACGACCATGGAGAAGTCTTCGGACAGCGCTGGCTCGTCGGCTTGGAAACCGAGATGAGCACCGGCACCCCTAGAGTCGGATCCGACTGGCTTTCGAGCGAGGGAAACCCAAGAGCACCAAAACGGAACGGGCTCGAAAGGGCTAAGGAATGGCCGGATCATTTCTATAGCAGGGTTACATTTTAGGAAGTCTCCACCAGAGGGCCCTCGAGCCCTTGGAAGCAGGTCCCGAACGCGTGGCTTGCCAAAAATTGTGACCTAAATGGTCTGAGTCATCTTCAGGGGAAGAATCAAAGGGGAGGAGAAAGGAAGCCGTGGCTGTGAGAAAACAGAGAAGAGGGCGGCAGGCCAGGGAGGGCTGGACTCCGGGGCCTGCAATTAGCGAGTGACGCTTCTCCCATCAATGTCCTTCACTGATGTTCATTCAATGGGGCCACAGTATGGAAACACGCTAGACCACGGAAGGACTCGGCCCTGGACCTGAGTCATGCTCACGACACCTGCAGTGTCGTTGTGTCCGTTACAGCTGAGGTTCTGAGCTGTTTCTAGGGGCTGTGTGTGATCCGGATTTGCACGGATTTTACCTTTCCAGGCCCACCGCTGGAGCCGTGACTCACGAAAGCTCCTCCCCTGCCACATAGTTTGTTAGTCTTTAAGCGGCTCCTGTGCTCTGGCATCTAGACAGTGTCATAGATGCAACGAACGTGAAACTGAGCCAACTTCAGAGGACGGCGGAAGACCGGAAGGCCTGGCGTGATCTGACCCATGGGGTCGCGAAGAGTCGGACTCGACTGTGCGACTTAAAAACAACAGGGCTCTGGCTCTTTTCTACCGGACCCACAACTGCGCTACACAAACTGCCTGCCAGGGGCTCAACTCGGGCTAAGGTTGCCACCTCCTGGTGGGGAATATCCTGGAGATTTTGAAGCCAAGCTGGACTGTTTTTGCTCTGATAAGAACTCTAAGATGACTTATCGCATAGCTAGATTTTGTGTATTGACACAGAGGCTACGGAAGCTATATTTTGAATAGGTTTTAAATTTAAATCTTTTATTGGTGTGTATTTTGTACTCTGTATGTTTTTAAAAACTAATATTATAACTATACAGGGGTCATTTTGTAGAAAAAGAGGTGCAGGAGCTCATTGGCATAACTCATTTGCATAACTCGTTTGCATATGCCACACCCCCTGACATCACCGGAAGTGTGTCAGAAGGCAACACCCACCGCTCAGGCTCCACTGGACTGTTTTAGATTGCTAGCTATTGGAGGGGGGGAGAACATGCAGATCTGTCCTCGCAGAGGAGTGAGAGCTTGTACTGGAATAAAACTTTGTCTTAAAGGCGCCACTGGACTGTTTTGGATTGCTAGCTATTGGGGGGGGGGAACATGCAGATCTGTCCTCGCAGAGGAGGGAGAGCTTGCACCTGAATAAAACTTGGTCTTAAAGGTGCCACTGGACTGTTTTGGATTGTTAGCTACTGGGGGGGACGGACATGCAGATCTGTCCTCGCAGAAGAGGGAGAGCTTGTACCTGAATAAAAAGTTGCCACTGGAGCGTTTTGGGTTGGGGAGTCGGGGGCAGGGGCTCTGCAACTTACATGGCTGCTTCTTGCTGTGACTGAGGGCTGTTGGGAGCAGGGGGTGGAGCTTGTTGCATGTGCCCGCCCCCTGGGCTCTTTACTGCCGGAGCTCCGCTCCTGTGCGCTCCTGCAGGAAATGACCCCTGACTATATATATGTGGCTGGTCTAGTGACCGTAATAAATTCTACTACAACTACTGGAGATTTGGGGCATGGACTTTGGGATGAGTGGGGTCTGTCCAGTGCCATAGAATCCGCCCTCCAAAGCAGCCATTTTCTCCAGGGCTGTTGAGCTCTGTTATCTCGAGATCTGTTGTCATTCTGGGACATCTCCAGGCCCCACCTGGAGGTAGTTGCCAACCTCATCTTGAGAAACTCCTGGAGATTTAGGCCTGGAGCCAGGGGAGGGCGGGGTAGGTGGAGGGGTAAGTAAAGGTAAAAGATTTCCCTTGCTTGAAAGCCAGTCGAATCCGACTCTGGGGGGTTAGCCAATCTTGTTGGCTTCTTTCCAGCGGCCTCAAGTGTTGACTTCTCTAGTGACCTGGAGCAGGTCTCCCCGTCGGCGGCTTCCTTCGGCAGGCCGTCCTGATGCGGCGTCATGTCGGCTGCAGCTCTCGGCTATGTCCAATCGGCTCCGCCGCGCCGCGCCGATCACGTCATCACGCCTCTTCCGCTGCTCGACGCTGTGCTCGCTGGTCATCTGAGTCGTTCTGGTCTGTAGTTCAGCATTTTAACCACTGAGCCACCGCAGGGGAGGGCTTAGCATATTGGGAGAGCTGGTATGTTCATCCAGATCCCTTGCTCAATTTTGCAGAGGGCGCTCAAGGCTCAGAACGCAGCAGAGCGCCTTTGTTGAGCGGATGCTTGTAAGACTACGGAGCTACACAGAGCCACTCATCCGCTGAAAAGAAAATAAGAACGCCTTTATTTAGGAAACGCGTACTGGATAGTGCAGTTTACAGACAGCGACAAGATCAGGAGCCAGTTTGATGTCGTGGCTAAGAGTGCAGAGTCTAATCTGGGAGTACCGGGTTTGATTCCCCACCCCTCCGCATGCAGCTGCTGGCGTGACCTTGGGTCAGTCACAAGTTCTCTCAGAGCTGTTCTCTCAAAAGCAGTCCTCGAGGGAGCTCTCTCGGCCCCGCCTACCTCCCAGGGTGTCTGTTGTGGGGAGGGGAAGGGGATTGTAAGCTGCTCTGAGACGTCTTTGGGTAGTGAAGGGCGGAGGGTATAAATCCAATCTCCTCCTCCTCCTCCTCCTCCTTCCTCCTCCTCTTCCTCTTCTCCTTCTTCTTTTCTATCTAGCTAGAGAGGCACTCTGTATCCATGATGCCAAAGAGGGAGAAACATGTCCTCTTTCTTTGAGTGCGTGAGAAGAGAGACAGAGAGGAGAGGGAAGGAGGCATTTCCCCTTTACAAGCAGCAGTGTGCACATACAAGGGTTCCATGACAGAAGAGTAAACAGGAAGGTGCTTCGTGTCTGCCTATCTATCGGCAACTCTCTGGTCCCTTGCGTCTTGGAGGCTGAGGCACAGGGACATCCGCATCTGGTTATTCCAACACAAGCGGGGTCTTGTGCCATAGGATCCACCCTCCAAAGCAGCCAGTTTCTTCACGGGAATTGATCCCCGTAGTCCAGATATCGGTTGTGATTCCAGATGATCTCCAGCCCCCACCAGGAGGTTGGCAAACCTAAGCTCAGCTCAGACTGGCCTTCTGCAAGTCCAGGAGCGTCAGTCTGTGCCTGTTGCCTCTTGCACTGCTGCCAGCGAGGAAAGTCTGGCTCCTGACCCAGACACACCCGATAGAGGAACGAACACGTGGAATCCACCTGTGCAGGAAGTGGTGGCAACTACAAGCACAGACAGCTTCAAGAGGGGACTGGATAAACATACGGAGCAGAGTCCGTGCATGGCTGTTAGCCACAAGGTATAGATGGAACACTCTGTCTGGGGCAGGGATGCTCTGTCTTCTTGGTGCTTGCAGGGCAACAGTGGGTTCTGTGGCTTCTGTAGTTCTGGCCCCACCGGTGGACCTCCTGATGGCACCTGGGTTTGGGCCACTGATGGGAAAGACCTCTGCCTGAGACTATGAAGAGCTGCTGCTAGTCCGAGTTGACAATACTGGAACTTGATGGACCAAAAGGGCTGATTCAGTCTAAGGCAGCTTCATAAGGACATCAGAGAAGCCAGTGTTGGATCAGGCCAGTGGCCCATCCAGTCCAACACTCTGTCAGTCACACAGTGGCCAAAACCCAGGTGCCACTAGGAGGTCCACCAGTGGGTCCAGAACAGAAGCCCTCCCACTGTTGCCCCCCAAGCACCAAGAAGACAGAGCATCCCTTGCCCCAGACCGAGAGTTCCTCTCTATACCTTGTGGCTCATAGTCACAGATGGACCTCTGCTCCACAGAAGAACATAAGAGAAGCCAGTGTTGGATCAGGCCAATGGCCACTCCAGTCCAACACTCTGTGTCACACAATGGCCAAAGATACCAGGTGCCGTCAGGAGGTCCAGCAGTGGGGCCAAAACTCCAGAAGCCCTCCCACTGTTGCCCCCCAAGCCCCAAGAAGACAGAGCATCCCTTGCCCCAGACCGAGAGTTCCTCTCTATACCTTGTGGCTCATAGTCACAGATGGACCTCTGCTCCACAGAAGAACATAAGAGAAGCCAGTGTTGGATCAGGCCAATGGCCACTCCAGTCCAACACTCTGTGTCACACAATGGCCAAAGATACCAGGTGCCGTCAGGAGGTCCAGCAGTGGGGCCAGAACTCCAGAAGCCCTCCCACTGTTGCCCCCCAAGCACCAAGAAGACAGAGCATCCCTTGCCCCAGACCGAGAGTCCCTATCTATACCTTGTGGCTCATAGTCACAGATGGACCTCTGCTCCATAGAAGAACATAAGAGAAGCCAGTGGCCCCTCCAGTCCAACACTCTGTGTCACACAGTGGCCAAAAAGACCAGGGGCCATCAGGAGGTCCATCAGTGGGGCCATATAGTCACAGATGGACCTCTGCTCCATAGAAGAACATAAGAGAAGCCAGTGGCCCCTCCAGTCCAACACTCTGTGTCACACAGTGGCCAAAAAGACCAGGGGCCATCAGGAGGTCCATCAGTGG